TAAAAGATCTTATTATCATCATCTACTTAATGCTATTTACTTAATATCAATGTTCTGTATATTAAACCAGCTAACATTTTGATAATACGATACTCTTTGGTAAAGGTTATAGTCCTTTATTTAATAGAGGTAATTGAAAAAAATCCAACTGAATAGTATTAAATTAAGAAATTTATCCCAAACAACTGGTTTTTACTCTCTGAAATAGGAGGAAAATGGGTGGAAATTTTTCTCACTGGCAGTAAGGTTTTGATATTATTGGTGGCACATTGCTGGATTGAGTAGAATGTAACTTCTGCCCATTTATTTACTCTTCCCTGCATCCATCCCACTGTTCATTCGCAAAACACTTGAGGTACATCCCTCACAAATTCGGGCAACTGAACCTGTTACTTGAAGTCACTATGGTTGTGCAGCAGGAAGAGGTGCAAATGACGAAAGTGTGACGGACACGGGAAGCTGTGGCCATGTGAAGACGCTTGCCAGGCAGTCAGGCCACCAGCAACCAGAAGGAGGCACCCACACGTAGACCAACATTTGCACCTGTTGCTGGGGGAGGCCCATCCCCCTTCCAAAAACCACACATTCAATGAAGAACAAGGGAACCCTGAGGGGAGAGCCCCAAGATTGTGGTTCCATAACTTTTGGAAGTATGGAATATAATTTAAAACATGATTTCCGTGGCTGGGCACATTGAGTATAAGATCTGCGCTTCTAAGAGGTTTTTGAAGTTTCATATGTGCATTGAGGGTCTCCAGGGACTACTGGCTCCCACATACTGACCCAGACACAGGCTTTGAGCCTCCAGTAAGAGCTCTGGTTGGCAAGGCAGTAGTTCCTTCCCTTCCTGTGGCCTGCACAAAGCAGCAGAGAGCTCAGTGCTGGGCTTGGGAACCAGGCACACGAGCAGTGGCTGGCTTCTGCTCTGCGCTGAGTGGGAGTTCAGCACACGGGCGTGGCACCGGCTCATCACACAGGGGAAGCCTCCGGATCCTGTGGCCACAGAGCACAAGCTCTCAGGCCAGAGGCTTTTCCACTTAAACTTACAGGAGACAAACTGCTCTAATTCAGAGATTGTCAGAAAAATGTAATGGTGTCATTACTTACGAATGATACTTCTCACTAATACTCACAGAGACAATCTTTTGGTTCTGATGCCAAGCCAGTTAGCCTTAGGCCCAAGAAGGTTTAGTCATCAACATTTAGAGTGAGGGACGAATAAGGGTTTTCAAGATCAGGAATTAGGCAAATTGAAACTAAGGAAAGAGTTAAGCCTTAGTGAGGAAGGTATCAAAATGTACCTTAGCATTCATATTTTTTAAAGTTTCTAAAATAGTTACTTCATCATTGATATTTTATCTCCTTATAACAAATACATGTGAATATTCACACACAAATGTATATATACACATATATGTTTATAAATATTTGTTTTATGTGTAAGTCTGTGCTCAACACACATATATGAAAATCTACATATCAAAACTGTATAGCTTGAAGAATTATCATAACTTCATTCCATGTAACGTCACCACAGCAAGAAACAGCACTTTACCGCCCTCTGCAAAGTGGCTTCCTGTCCCTCCTCATCTGTACCCCATTACTGTTCCCCAAAGGTAAGAACCGCTGTTCTCCTTTTAATAGAGACACGGCTGCCTGGTTTTCAACTTCATGCACGTGGAATTATTCAGAACGTGCTCTCTGGAGCTCTTCTGTCACTCAGCATTATGTTTTGCACATGAAAATGTGTTCAGATCAAAATTACAACGAAGTATCATCTCAGCCCAGTTAAAATGGCTTTTATCCAAAAGACAGGCCAGGATGAATGCTGGTGGGGGTGCAGACAAAGGGGGACACAGTGGAATATTATTCAACTATCAAAAGGAATGACATCCTGTCATTTGCAGCAATGTGGGTGGAAATGGAGGACGTAAAGTGAAATATGCTAAGGTCAGAAAGATGAATCCCGCATATTCTCACTTATACATGGAGCTAAACATTAAAAATAATTGATCTCATGGAGGAGGAAAAAATGTACTCAGTCTCCTCAGTCATGAGGAAGTAGAAATTAAAACCACAAGATTCCACAGTAACCAGCATTGGCGAGCGTGGGAAAGGAATTCTGGGAACCCAGACAGGAGAGCAGCTATTTTAGAGAAACAGGCAGAGGCAGCGACCCCTCCTCCCCAGACTCCTGCAGTGCCCCGGGCAGAGTTTCCCGAGAAACACCCTACCCACAGCCTGACCAGCACCAGGGATACACCCCAAATCCTGCCCCCCACTGGAGGTGAACCCTGGGGGTTTTACCTGGCAGCCCTGCCACAAACATCAATCAGAAGAGAAGGACTCCATCGACCCAGGAATGGATCAACTAACTGGTATATATACACCATGGAATACTTTTCAGCCATAAAAGGCAGTGACTTTACATCTTTCATATTTACCTGAGTAGAGCTGAAACACATTCTTCTTAGTAAAGTGTCACAAGAATGGAAAAACAAGTATGTAAAGTACTCAGTACTAATAAGAAGCCAGCAGACAAACACCCACCCGCCTACATGAGAGAAAAACACAGTGTATTCAAGTAGGGGGGAGAGGAGAGGGGAAGAGGACAAGGTGGGTGGAGACTGGCGAGCTCTCACCTGATGGCACAGTGTGAGGGTGCACAGCACAGCCCTGGGTGAAGGGCTCAAAGGCAACTGGAACTTTATCTAGAAACCCAAACAATGTAACCTAATCATCTGTGCTCTCCTGTTAGTCTGAGATTTAAAAAACAAGACTGAGGAGAAGGACTTGGTCACTGCCCCATTCCAGCTGTACAGACAAGGCTAGCCAAGCCTTTTGCAGCTGTGTGGAGCTGACCCAGTCCCGGTCAGACTTCACCCTGCTCTGTCCTCTCCTCCTGGCTTCCCTTCTCCCTGGACCGACCTCCTCTCCTTCCTGCAGCCCCAGCTCACACCTCTCAGTGAGGACACAGGGCACCAGCTCTCTCACGCACTTCTGGGAAAGGGGGGATTTTGGTAAATCACTTAGGAAGACCATGGGACGGTATCCAGTAAAAGCTCTTTATTGGCTTTTTGGACATGTCCTTTTATGAAGTGCTTGTTTCAAGGTATTAGAAAAAGAATTCAAAGGTGGCCAAGGAAAGTGGGAAGAGGAACGTTACTAAAAATAAAAGCCAAAATTAGAAAGAGGACATCAAATGAGAGAAAGTATACATAAACCAGTAAAAGCTGGTTCCCTCGAACCTACTGTGAAGCTAGCAATACCTGTAACCTTGGTTCCCTAAAGTAACATGTGAGAGAGACAGAGAGAATGGCCTCAGGAATAGGAAAAGAGAGAAAATAACATAAAAAGGAAGTGAATTTTAAAAGAGTATTAGGATGAAACACACTAGTGAATTGAGAAACCGATCCCTGCACATGTGACACTTGACTTACGACAATGATGGCATCGGAGAGAATTGTGGGAAAGATAGCGTTTTCAATCCATGGCGCTGGGTTTACTGGACAGCCATGTGGAAAAAGTGAATTCTTTTATGCACCAAGCATAAAATTAATTCTCAATGGCTTACAGATTATAAATGTGAAGGGTCAAACAACAAGATTTCTATAAGATAACACAGGAGAAAATCTTCCTGACTGTAGGATAGGCAGAGATTTCTCAAGCAGGTTACACCAAGCTCTAAGTATAAAGGAAAAGACGAATGAATTGGACTAAATTAATAACTTCTGTTCATTGAACAACATCATTAAGAGAGTGAAAAACAAGTCACAGAGTAGAAGAGACTCAATGATACATTCAACCAATTTGTGTCCAGAACATAGAAAGAATCACCTACAAGTCAAAACGAAGAAGACCCTACAGAAAAGTGGACCAAAGATAAAACCTATGCTTGCTGTTAAAGGAAAAGGGGAAGGGTGTGAGTGTTTTTCTAGGCAAACACACCTATAGCAAGTGTTCCTAGCATAGGCCTTGTGACCCTGCTGAGTGACAGCACATCCACATAGGAGGGGAGGGATGGCGAGGCAGCCGGAACTTTAGAAACTAGTCAGGAAGTGACAGCTTTGGTCACAGACTAAGTTAAAATAGATGTATCAGCCTGAATCAAGTGGTGCATGGGAAATAAAGCAAACAGTTTGCCTCTGAGAGGACAGTGGCTGGCCTTAACTCACTTACTGTCATAATTAAAGTGGCTTCCAGAACAGATGCTTCAGGGAAACGGCCTACACAGAGGAGGAAGGAGAAGGCTCTTCCTGAAACTGACATTGGTTAGCTGCGTTTGGAAACTAACCGTTCACGCCCCAAAGGCATCTGCTTCTGACATGGTACAGCAGTCACGACTAGCTTTCTCTGTACCTACCACGCCTGTGTACAAAGACTTGATATCCTCTCACACTTCAGCTGAAGCTTCGTGCAAAGAAATCAACTATGCCAGGCAAGTGCTGACAGAATGGGTGGGATGCAGCACTCGCCCCCGACTCAGAATGGCGTCTTGGGTGCTGACTGGTAGATAGACGACTGATGACATCTCATTTGGTTCTCTCAACTAGCTGCTAAAGGGGCATCACTTCTCCACTCTGAACCCGAGGCCCACGGTGTTACGTCAGTAACTTGGTAAGAGCACCTGGTAAGTAGGAGTGCTCTCCTCTGAAGTCTTCTGGGTTCAAGCCCTACATGGAGTGATAAAGATTTTATCTTTTTTTTTTTTTAAGACAGAATCTCAAACTGTCACCCTGGGTAGAGTGCTGTGGCATCATATCTTACAGCAACCCCCAACTCTTGGGCTCAAGCAATCCTCTTGCCTCAGTTTTTCTATTTTTAGTAGAGATGGGGTCTCACTTTTGCTCAGTCTGGTCTTAAACTGGTGAGCTCAAGCACTCCACCTGCCTCGGCTTCCCAGAGTGCTAGGATTACAGGCCTGAGCCACCACACTGGCTGAGATAAGGGTTTTAATGGTGAGGGATGAATGGGTCTTAGTAACACAAGAAATCACATACCTGAAATACCAAAGCCAATGATGAGGACAATTGCTCCAGCCAAAATAATGATGATGCTAATAATGCTATGGAAAGAGAGACAGAGAAACAGGAAATTACTTATTTATTCCGTCTGACACTGCTCTATGACCTCGGTCATGGATAGGGGTGCAACAGAAGGCTTCTCAACTCTGCCTTCCATGTAAGTGCCTTCCTCCTAGAGATAGGTACCTTGGAAAGGAATCACAGCCATTCCACCCCCATTCCCCTGGGTCTCCAGGATAGATTCACCACCCCCATCCTCCTGGGTCTCCAGGATGGATTCACCACCCTCATCCCCCTGAGTCTCCAGGATAGATTCACCACCCCCATCCCCCTGGGTCTCCAGGATAGAGTCACCACCCCCATCCCCCTGGGTCTCCAGGATAG